AAAGGTTTTTAAAATAGACTTAAGGGGGTCTTAAGGTTATATAATAAAAGGCTAGTTAGCCTTATTATTAAGTTATTATTATAAACCTTTTTTAAAAATTTATTTAATTTAATTAAAATAGCAATTTTTAATTATATTTTAATTAATATTATTAATTATATAAATTTAAAAATCTTAATTTATATAATATCTTTAAATTAATTAATTAAAAAGCTATTATAATTAAAAGACTTAAAAAAAGCTATAAAGTAAGGTAAGACCTTAATAATTAATTAGGCTACCTTTTTAATTGCCTTTTTAAGCCTAAATCTAATTAGCCATAAAAAGTAGCTATAAAATATAATTATTAAGGCTAAATATATATTTAACTTCCTTCTGCTTATATAAAGGTTAAAGATAAATATAAAGTAATAGTAAGGTTTAAAGGTTTAAAGGAATTAAGTTAACTTTTATATAAATTAATTAATAAAAGTTAAATTAACTTAAAGTCTATAATAATTAAATCTATTAATTCAATATATATATTAAAGTATATAATTAATTAACCTTATATTTAAAAACTATTAAAAAGTTAAAATATCCCCATAGTAATATATAAAGTATAGCTAATTAAGGTCTTAAATAAGAAAATAATATAATAAAATACTTATTTTTTAGTATAATATAATATAAGGTATTATATATTATATTAAAAAAACATAATAACCTTAATAATAAGTCTTAAGGTTATATAGCTACTATTATAAACCTTATAATTTAATTAAATAAATAGCTTTAATCTATAAATATAAAAAAGATATTTCTTTAGGCCTTAAGAGGCTAAATGCCCTCTTTATTATTAGCCTATTAAGGTAATTACTATTAAGGCTTTAACCTTAAGAGATTAAGTTATATTAAGTAAGAAACTAAGAATTCTATTATAAGATATGTTACTATATAACTAAAATTAATAATAGCTAACCTAGCTATAACTATTTAATTAATATAGTTAATAACTATATAACCAGTCTTTTAATAGAAGTCTATAAGCTTAACTTTTAAATATATTTTAATATTATAATCCTTTTTAAGGTATTATAAAATTATAAGAGAATATCTATTATATATTAATAAGCTATTAGTAATATAATAAGTTAATTTAGCAACTTTTAGCTATTAAATATAGCTACTTTAAAAAGAGGTTAATATAAGTAAGATTAATTATATTATATACTAAATAGAAGCCTTAAAAGACCTAATAGGCTACTTAAAAAAGGGCTAATACCTATTAAAGTAATAATAGGCCTTTATTATTAGTATTATATTAAGTAGCAGTAATAGTCTATATTAGTTATAGTTCTTTAAGTTAAAATATACAGTTATAGTAATTAAATAGAAGATATTAATATTATATTATAAAAATTAAAGGCTATTATAAAGTAAAGAAAGGGAAGTAAAAGAGAAAAAAGTAAAAAAAAGGCAAATTAGAAAATAAAGGTTTAAATATTAAAGGAAAAACTGTAAATATTAATAGACTAAAGCTAGCTTAAGGGGTTAATAATAAATTAAATTAGGTTATAAGATAATATAGTATAAAGAATATAAGTTAAAGAAAAATATAAATAAGTAATACTTAAGGTAATTAATATTATAATAATTCTTAATTCTATATTATAGAGCCCTTTTTCTTAAACTACTATAGACCTTAAATATAATACTAACCTTAACTAACTTTAAATAGAATTTTTAATTAATTAATAACTTAGCCCTAAAGTAAGTAATATTATAGTTATATATAGCCTATAAAATTATATTTATATATATAATTTTATTAAAATTATTTATAAATAATTTTTCTCTAGTTTAAATTACTGCTTCTTTACTGATATTACTTTAACTGCAGTTCTTAGGCATAAGGTCAATTGGTTATATACCTAGGTATATATATTTAATTAGTAGAGGTTAACCTAACTTTTACTAATTAACTTATATAGAGTAAAGTTAACCTAATTCCTTTAAACCTTTAGTCTAACCTTATTACTACCTTATGTTTATCCTAGAACTCTATATATAGATATGCTGTCCCTTTACTTTTATAGTCTTAAACTATAACTAGTCTATTGATTTTATATAATTAGAAGGATATAGTATATATATTTAGCCTTAATAATTATATTATTAAGCCACTCTTTATATAAGGTTAAGTTTAGGCCTATTAATGCAGTTAAAAAAGCTGCCTTTTCTATATTAAGAGGCAAGCTTTCTTTAATAGCCTTTTCTAGCTTTTTTAATCTAAATAGCTCTTTAATTAGCTAAATTAAATAAATTTAATTACCTAAACTAGCCTAATCTATATAATTAATTAAGTTAATTAAAATATAGTTAAAAATAGCTATTTTAATTAGGCTAAATAAGCTTCTTAATAAGAAGTTCTTTATAATAATTATAGCTATTATATAGGTTAATTAAAGATCTTTTAGCTAAAGTAAAGAAAGAAGGCTAATATAGCTACTAAAAGGCAGTATTAATATTAGCTTAATTAAGGCAATAATTATACTATTAAGGTAAATAAACCTTATAAGATTCTAATATTTAAGATATAGGCCTACTATAGGGGCCTTATTATTTAAGCCTTTATATAGAAAGTTAAAAGCTTAATAGCCTTATAAGGCTAATAGTAAGGCAAAAAAAAAAAAGGAAAAAAAAATAATTTTTAGGAATTTTTAATTAATTAATAACTTAGCCTTAAAGTAAGTAATATTATAGTAATATATAGCCTATAAAATTACATTTATATAAATAATTCTATTAGAATTGTCTGTAAATAATTCTTAAGTCCTTAAAGTTTAAATAGCTATAAATAGTAATTTATATAGCTTATAAAAGATATCTCTTTTAAATTTATTAAATATAAATAAATCTTTATATAGTTTTATTAAAGACTTAAAAAGTAAAGAAAATAGTTAGCTTAAAATAGTATTAGCCTTTTAATAATTTACTACAAAGAGATATTATTAATAAGAAAATATAAGTTATATAAATAGTAATAATAATAATAATAGTAAGGAAAATAAGGTAAGGATTTATAATAATTAATTAAAACTAAAAGGTTAAATTAAAGAAAAATAAAGTAAATTAACTTAAGTATATATAATATAATACCTATAGTTAATTAAATATATAATAGCTATAGTTAATTAAATATATAATTCTAAGAGGTACTATAAAACCTATAATAGTATAACCCCCTATTAGCCGCTAATGCCTTAAAATTCCTCAAAACCTAACCCTAACTGGTCAGTATAATATAAAATTCTTTATGTTATAACAGGTTAACATTTGACTTTGTCTCACAAAGAGAACCATGTATGGACAGCTCATGGTTTCATTAGTACCTGTTCCAAGATGTTGAAAAGAGCTCGTATGGTGGCGAAGGAAACTGTACGAAGCCGGCACACGAGAGTATGTCCTCCTTGGAGGACCTAGACAGTGAAGAGGAGATATCCCGGTGTTGCCAGGGCTTAGACTCGTCGGCAGACTCATTTCAAGAACTCATTTCAAGACACTTAACAGTTCTAGAATTTTCACTGGTAGGTTATGACTGGGTTCAAGGCCCGGATTGGTGCAAGTGGTACTGTAGTGCTTGATGCGCTCCTTTATATGTTTTTATGGAGGCAAAGAAACGGAATTAGGTCAGTGGCGCAGCCAGAAGACCACACTACCAAGCCAGAGTTGGACGGGGCGGTTACGCCATCAGCGAGGATGAACTGCTGGAGGGGGAGACGAAGGAGAGCATCACACCAGTGCCCGGTCCTCCGAAAGAAGGAAAGGCTGCGCCTGCTGAATTGTCACGCGGAAAAGAGGAGCTACATTGAGGGAAGTAAAGACGGAAATGAATGGGAATGGAGTCGAGGGTACAAAGGAAGTTTGATAATACGAGAGATGGCAGACCCAGATAGGGAGACTTCTCTGCGTCGTCTGGACTCTGCAGGGGTTCCTAGTGCAGTGGTTAGAAGTTTGCCCATATTGATAGGCCATCTTCGTCTGGGATGACACCCTTTTTTGACAATCGGTAGCAAAGATCATGCCTCCGAGGGCTACCGAAAGGAGACTACCAAACGCGGACAAACAGCCTCCGAGGTTCCACTAGTGCAACTATCCGCTTTTGTGGATTATGCACCTACTTTCATGAGTTAATTTGCCGAAGTTCTGTTAAGAAGCAGTATCCATTTCTAACTTTCTGGCACGCTATTAGCCAGAAAGCAACTCGTGGCCGTGCACTATAGTATCCTGTGAACCCTAAGTGAATCTCGATCCTGGAAAGAGAGGTAGCATTCGTCATCGGAGGCTACTTGACAATTTGTTTCTTGGCGTATTGAGCATGACGTTGACACGAACTGCTGGCGGCCAGGACGCAATGTTGACTACCCAATTACAGGGATGATAGAGCGAACGCTGCGAAGACACAGAGGATTCTCAATCCGTGTCACAACTATAACGCGTCTCATTGTGTATCAAGAGGCCATGACTGTGATGATAGTCTTGACATGTGTAGTTTGCCTAATGCTTCGTAGTACCTATCGATCTAACCCTCATGTTGTAAGAGAACCTGCCCGTTTCCCATATTGAAGCTTTAGCCTTATGGCGACGCAGTTCGAATTTTCCTACACCTCCTAGCCTCATCGATTAGAGTCAGGATAGCACTGCGAGTAGAATGGATTCAGAATCTTGCAGTAAAATCCCTTGCCACACTGCATGTTCCCGGTCCACTCATTGCCACCGCACTGCTGGTACTGCCCCTGGGCCTTGGACACGGGAAGGGCTAGGATAGCGGCACTGGCCCTCTCCGCGACGGTGACGATGTATGCACTGGGATTTGTGGTGACCATGCCTGGGAAGATAGAAGCGTCAGTGACGAAGAGGTTGTCAGTGCCATAGACCTTGGTGTTGAGGTCAACAACGGCCGTACCACCTTGGCGACCGTCATCCTTGCCGAGCTTGTTGGTTCCAATCCAGTGGTTAGCGCGGCGGTTGCTCCACGAGACGACCATCTATATATATCATTAGGCCATGCTTTGAGCGCCAGCAGAGATTCATGAAGAACTTACATCATCGACATATTTCTGCGAGGTGACACCTGGAGCTGGTTGGAGCCACTCTAGACCCTCCACGCCAGAAAGAGCTTTACGAAGGTTATCGAGGGCTTTGACAACAGCCTTCTTGTCTTCTGCATCGTTGAGGTAGGGGTTACCAGAGACGACGGTGTTGAGAGCACTTGTGATGGTCATGCGACCGCGTGACTTGGCACCACGGCCAAGGTACTGGCTAATAGTGATGGACTCTGATTTACGAGTTAGTTCTGGTATGAGATATTGCACCGAATGGAAAGAGGTACTTACTGTTGCTAGTCTCGCCGAGACTAGGCTCAACGCGAGCTGTCCACTGCATAGATCGTACACGGCCATCAGCACCAGAAATCTCGTCAAAAATGATCGGGCCAATGTTAGGGGCAGCTTGAGCGAGAATACCTGAGCGTGCATCTACCTCCAAGTTAGTCATGATACCCAAGTTTCAGAAGATGATTCAATATTGACCCAGGTACTTGTTCTTATCTGAGGGGATCGGGTTATCATAGGCCTCGTAGAAGTCGTAGAACACGACGCTGGGGTGCTTGATAACAGTGTCGGTCTGTCATGCTATTAGCCGGAAAATCGAGTTACTCTGTGATATGCATTTACATTGGTATGGTCCTCAAGATTGTACCCAACAGGAAGGTTGATCCACTGATCTTTGGTGATCATGGAGCCACCATCACGACTAGAGTTGGCGACAACACTGAGCTGGTCATCTGGGCCAATACCACCTGTACAGAATGATTAGAACTAACAAACTCTGGCAGCATACGGGTAAGACAAGACTCACTGCGAAGGAGGATCTTAGCACTGCCAAAAGTGCCAGCCGCAAGAATAACGCGACCAGTCTCGGGAGTGAGCTTGACGGTACCGACATACCCGGCACCGGAGAAGGGCTCGACCTCGAGGCCGGTTACGTGACCGCCAGAGCGAACGACACGTCTTACTTGGGTATTGGTCCAGTACTTGAAGTTGTTTCGCGCTTTGGCGGAGACGAGATAGGTAGCAAGGGGGCCTCCTCGCTCACCTCCGGAGAACATAAAAGGTGGGTGGGTATAAGTACGGTTCTTTGCCCCCGGCTTCTCAAGAGCGTTCACTTCGTTCCAACCGGCCTTATCAAGGGCTCCAGCGACAACCTTGAAGCCCTGGTCGAGGTATAGCTTACCATCCATTGATGGGTAACGTGTACCAGGAATGCGACCGAAGACACGCTGCTCGTACGTGGCCATGTCTTTGGCCTTCCAGCCATCGGGGAAGTTGAAGTCCCAGTCTGTTGGATTGGGGCGCCACCACAGACCAGCGTTAATGGCGGTGCCTCCACCGAGAACACATCCGGCCATCTGATCGGTATCGGGACAGGCGATGCCGGAAGAGTCGGCCCAGATCTCGTTGCAAAGACCAGGAACATCGAAGCGAGTCAGGTTGGTGCCTCCAAGCCAGTCTGGCTTACGAGTACCGCCCCAACGGCCAGAGGACGGAGGTCCCTTCTCGATCAGAAGGACCTTCTTGCCAGCCTCGCTGAGCCGGTCAGCGACGGGAAGACCACCGGCGCCACCGCCGACAACAACGTAGTCGTATGTCTCGTCAGGAACTGGTGTACTGCTGGGAGCAGCGGTGGAGGAAGGCTGACTGGTTGCGGTGGAAGTAGGCTGCTCACCGCCGCAGTTGCCCTCAACAACCTTTGTAGCGAGCTTAGCCCATGTGCCATACTTACTGTTGAAGGCATTGCTTGTAAGTTGGCCACCGAAGATGCTCTGGGTTTCGTGCTGGAGCATCCTCGCCTCACGGGGGCACTCGGGGTCAATCACATCCGTGGTACTATGAGCCCACCCGAGAACGGCGATCGAAGACGTGGTTGCTAATTGACCCGAGTTCCCGTCTTGTGACCACGAAGTGCAGCCCTGGCAGCGGTAGATAAGAGTAAAACCATCCGCCGTAATACTGGAAGAAATCTGGGTCAGGCTAGCCTTGCCCTTGTACTGGACAGGCTCGACCTGAGCGTTGGCCCAGAAGAAGGATGTCAGAATATCGCCGTCGTGGGGGTAGGCCATGAGTAAGAGCGAGTTTGTCATGGGTCCGCCGTAGGAGAGACCGCACCATCCAATGCCTTTCCCGCTGGGAGTCGCGCAATTCTGTGTACATGGTCAGAGAAGAAGAGCTATTAATATCGAATAGTTCCTTACGAGGTATCCAATGAGCTCATCGGCGTTTGTGGTCTGGCCATCTTCGGGAAAAGCGAAGCCGAACGTCATACGGGATCCGGATGCAGTCCATGTGTCGAACACGATCCCAGTGTCAGGGTCGGTGTAAGATACGGGCGTTGATTGTTGAGCAGACACATACTGGGTAACTTCTCAAAGGTCAGGACTCTAAAACTGTCGAAGCGGAAGATCTTCAGACTCACAAGGGGTTAGGGCCAGAAGCCATAAAGAGCGGTAGGAAACCATGATGACGAATCCCCGGTCGACGATTGGTGAAGGCCGTGGGAAGATTCAAAAACAGAGCAGTAGGCGCATTCATATACCGACGGGAACCATAATTAGTCAAGGTACAGTCGAAAATGACCAAGGACCGATGCCGTATTTAGCTGCTACGTTGGACGCTCCGAAAGAAAGCAAAATAGGGTGCGCCCTAGCAGGGGTCTATGTCGGATGAAACAAACCTTATCCCTTTCCCCAGTTGACGAACGGAGACCCGGGCCTTGTTTCCAACATTATCTTTATGCTTACCATTAATCTGCGACGGCAATTCCTTTAACCCAAACAAACTCATAGTCCTTCATTCTACAAGAGCCGAGCCAGGTAGCAAGGCGCGAGATGCGTGAGATGCAAGCGTCAGCTATCAGATCTACCAACTCGATATATCACTGCCAATAATTAAAGAACACTGGCATTTCGAATTCTTTGGCGTATATGCATATGCTCCTACTTCTGCCGTATCTTGGCTCAGCGTCTTTTCGACGCGACCCTTTCACCCAAGATTGTTATATTGCCAAAAGTGTACGGAGTACCAAGATCCCGTTATTTCCAGAAGCGGGTGTCGGAGGCTAACGCTCCTTTTCTCCCCGCAACCATGTGATGATGGCTGAGCGGCACGGTGCTCCGGGTCCGGGCTCCCCTGTTCATGCACAGCCAGTCAGATTGATGGTGCGCTCCTGGGGGAGGAAAGAAAACTCAGGACCTTGTCTCCAAGTTAAGCGATGAAAATGCTTAGGTAAATGTAGCCTAAACTTAGGGGTTCCTTTACTAAGTTTATTTGGTACCCACCCAAGCTGTTCTGTAATTATAGTGTAACTAACGTTGGTGCCAAAATTGCCGTCCAGCTTCGTGAAAAGCATCTCACGCCTATGCGAGCCCCATACATGTTTTATATTCAACGACAGGGCAATATTTATGCTACCCAGATAACTTTAAATTTCTCAAACCCTTCTTTGTTGCTGTTGTTATTGTTCCTCCTCCAGCCTGAATTGCCACCTTTTATTATTCCATAAAAATAGCTCCTTGTCGTTAGGCGATGCACCCCTCTGGTAACCGTCTCAAGACAATAGAAACAGCGGCGCCAATAAGATTAGTCACTTCGTCTCCGACTTGGGTCTAAGGATGAGAAAGCCCGATATAGCCCTTTTCAGTTCTAGACATTGCCAATTGGGCACGGTGGAGATTGAAAAGCAAGAAACCCCATATCTCTACGCCCTCGCAACATAGACACAATATCACCTTATCTTCATCTTTAGAAGTCACAGGCGGGCTTGAGTCGGAGCACAGAAACAAACCTGCAAACTTTGTATCCGTTAACCCCCACTGGCGATTCAACGACAAAGTGCGCCAGGGTGCTTCAGCCCAGGATTGGCCTGTGGAAGGGTAATATCTTTTGTCGAACATGTGTGTAATATTTTTCCATAAATTAATCATGCCTATGTACTCATTGTGACTTTGCTCTCCCCGATCATGGTTGCTAGCGGTCGCTCTGCTCTGAAGTGTAATAAATAGGACAATTAATAGACTAACCTCTTTAATGGTCTCAGCCCTCTCGCCCTATACATAGAGGACCGTTGCAGGGAGAAAATTCAAACCTGAATGGCGAGACCTTGTGTAGGCTTGTATTGAATACCTGTACTGCTTTGCCCTTTACAGTTAGAGTGTTGATAATTTGCTTAGGTTTGTCCTGCTGATTCTGTGTTTCTATATAAGTGGCTATGGTTCTTATAGTAAATAATTCGTTAGCCCAGATGGATTTAAGCTGCCAAAACTGCTGTGGCAACTTTAGCTTGGTACCCAATTAGCTAGGTAATCCATGTCTCTCAATATCTTGAAATACTTAGTAGAGTGAGGGCAAGCTATTATTACTGCCAGGCTTCTGACCTTAATTATAACCTAATTTAAAGCCTTTTTTTTTTTTTTTTTTTTTTTTTTTTTTCCTTATTATCAGCCTAATAAGGCTATTAAGCTTCTAACTTTTTATCTAAAGGCTTAAATAATAAGGCCCCTATAATAGGCCTATATCTTAAAGGTTAAAATTATATAAAGTTTATCTGCCTTAATAGTATAATTACTGCCTTAATTAA